ACAGTGTAGTAATGCTATCGCTTAAAATAACAAATTTAATCTTTTCTTCAAAGATCTTGTAGATATCACATTCTAATATTAGGAATATTTTTTCTGAATGTTGTGGTCATAAGCGCTTTTATGAATAGATCAGCTGCATTATCGTATGAACGAATATGTTGAATATCTACTTCTTGATTTTTCTCGAGCTCTTTTCTGTAAGAGAAAAATCTTGGAGAGGTAAGCGTCATTCGATCACTTTTGATATAACCTTCCTTTAGTTGGGCAACACACACAACATTACCTTCCGTACCAAATCTGTTTTCCCTTCTCATAAACCACTTTCAATCTGCGGCTAGTGTCACAGTGCACATATATACAATAAATTTGCTGTGTATTACAAGCAAGACTACGAGGGAACATGCTAAAAGAATACAGACCAAAGATTTTTGATAAAAATTGGAGAAATAGTATCTTGGAAGGTAAGCAAGTCCACGTGGGATCATGATGGGAAATCGTGCGATCTTCAAAGGGAGCCTTCGAGAGGACTCAAAGGTCTGCGGGACCGGAATCCAGAATTCTTGGAAGAATAGTGCCCCAGAAGACAAGCAAGTCCACAGATGGAGCATGCTAAGAGAATACGGACCAAAGGTTTTTGATAAAAATTGGATCATAAGTATGATGCCCCTAGAGAGTAAAATAAATGCAAACGAGGCTATTCTAATGGAAAGATGATAGACAAGCATGAGAAAGTAAAGCAAAGGGCCTCGGGAGCCCGACAAATCAGATGATAGAATAAACATGCAATCGGGGATTCAAGCAGGCAATGAATCAGGTAAGCGCATAGGCAGGGAATCAATCTAGCAGGAAATGAAGCAATCACGCAAACATAAAATCACACAAGGAAGTCAAGCAATCACACAAAAATGGAATCACACAAGGAAGTCAAGCAATCACACAAACATGCAATCTTGTAAGGAAGTCAAGCAATCACGCAAGCATGGAATCACGTAAGGAAATCAAGCAATTTAAACATGGAATCATGCAGGGAATAGCTTAAACAATAAATCACTCAGGCAGGGAACCATGCAATCACATAAACGAAGAATAGGGGAATGCATGCGACTAATTTAATAACATTTGATTGGCTCGTGCAAGCAAACAATGGAAGGCGGGTCCGCGCGGGTTGCCCTTTGAAGGGTAAGGACTGCCATGGGGAGATACTGTCCCTTGTGGGGTCTAAGAGCTCATACTATTGATTTATGACTTTCTGTTGCCGGAGAGGGTGCCTTGTTGATGCTCTTGGCGTTCTGGACGCCTCCAGCTATCTTTCCAGGATGGGCGCCGCGGTTCTCCTGAACGTAGAAAAGTCGTTTCATCGATGGGTGCAGTCCAAGTGGTGGATTTTTGTTCGCCCACTGCGTGGTAAGTGACACCGCACTATTTGTCTTGCTTCTCGTGAACTGGTGCTTGCTGTCTTCAGCACGAGGGACCATCCACCTCCTTCATAATAATAACGCTTTTCTTCGGATGCACGACTCGAGGATTAGGTATTTACCAAAATAATCCTCGACTTTTTCCATTATTTTCGGACGGTCGCTACAGTTTTTGCGTATCGTTTTGATTTTTTGCCCTTCTACAAAACAGCCGAGGGTAGTCGAGATTCCCTACTTGCTCCCTTTTTGCGATTATGGCCCGAATTTGATTCTCGCTTTCCTCTGAACCTCTGACCAAACTCTTCTTTCCTTCCTGTCTTGACGCAATGTCGTCTTCATCAACGAGTTCATCCGGCTACTCCTTGCATGCCACCTTCTCGTGGTCCGTGGACAGTGTTAAAAATATCGTTGGTACTCCCGAGCTGGTTGAGAAGCAGAACCAGACTCCTTTGGTGTGTATGCTGGAGATCCTGAAGAAGGTCACTTCGGCAGCCGATTCTCCCTGTGCGCCTCTTAAGCCCCTCTTTCCCACTGGAGGGGACCGAACGGATCGTGCCCGCGCCACTGTCTCGCAATTCATGATGATTATATCCTTTATGATCTTAGGGGATATAATATCCCGTGTATCTCTCTCGCATTTCCGGCATATGCCCCAGCCACTTGCATCCATTGGCGGGGGGTCTACTCAATCTGTTTCTGGTAGGACGTATTCTAACTTGAGCATCAGAAAAGTTTGGAGAGTAAAACCTCTTTCTGGTCTCCTAAAGATCCGGTTTACCTGTTACGAATGTTTACAGGACACAAACCGCTTTTTGCCCAGGAACTGCATACTACTCATCCCCCAGAAGACGAATCTAAGAGACTCGGCTCTACAATCAGGACGAACACACCCTTTATAAGGAAACGTGCAATTTGCTCCCAAACAGTAAAACTGTGATTATTGTAAAACAGTTGAAACAACTAGAACTAACAAAGTTTAGCAAACAAAAAAAAATAGAATTAACGAATGAATAGTGATGTATAGTTATATATTAAGAAAAATTTAATATATTTTTAAGTGACTTTCATTTTTTGAGGAAATGTTATAAAATAATCCTGTATGGGAAAATAATATGAAATAAGTACCACTACTTAGGGAAAATTATGAAAATGACTATTTTTCTATGATTTTTAGAAATATTAATATTGTTTTTCTTATATTTATATTTGTAAACTAATGACAGACTAAATGCAGATTACTGGTAGACTGATTAACCATACAATTGAACATAGACTATTAGCAGAGTAATAGCAAATTATATACAAATTACTGGCAGACTAACAATAGATTAAAAAACACACTAACAATTCCCTCTTATACATATTTTAGGAAAAATCATATTTCTTAATAAAATTATCAAATTAATCATTTCAAAAGTTACCTGTCAATAGTATATCTACATGTTTAACCTCTCGCATAATTAATATGTTAAACTCTTTTAGTAGGTTTTCGCTTGGCTATAAAAAAACCTTAAACCAATTATTCAAGTACGTATATTTTGTCTTTATCAAGATATATAGTCTGTTTATTTTGTTAATGTGTGTGTCCAACTTACAAATATCAAAGTTATTTAAGTACAATGATAAATGTATGTGTTTTTTTCAAAGGTAATATATATATGTAAGTTGAGATAAGCGTCTCATTTTCCTTCTATCCTTCATTTCACATTCGTCTAGAGAGAATACCATGCTCTTTTCATGGTTTATTTATGATACTTTCACTCTCACCAAACATTAGACGAGTATTACAATTTTGGATGAGGTGTCTAAACCATAAACACCTCTACATATTTATCTCTCCAAGTTCCTGCTCTTAGTAGGATGTGTATTAACTTTAGCGTTAGAGAACTTTTGGGAAGAAAACTCTCTTTCAATTTTTTCGGAAACCTAATTACTTTCTGCCAAAATATGCAGGATCCAGCTAAACTTTCACCCCAAAGCCGTATACCACTCATCTCTCTAGAGAACAAAACTCAGAAACTCAACTTCACTATCTGGATAATCACACATCTTTTATAAACATTTTGTTATTTGCTCTAAACAATATAAATCAAAGAGATAATAACACTAATAAAATATTTGAATTATTGGTCGTCTTCTTCTCTTATATCTTAGTGTATTTCTTATATTTTAAAATTTATAGACGTCTTTTAGCCAAAAAAATGTGGTGACGATTTTAAGTTTTACTTTTTATTCTTTTTCTTTTCAACATATGTTAGCATAGAAGTTGAATACAATTACAAATCCAGAATATAATCACCATAGAAGACTAAAAGTCTGCACCGATAATAGATTAAACAACTAACTAATTAACCAAAAAACGACAAGGCTACATAGCAAAGCTTTAAGAAAACACAGAGGCCGACACTTTCTCACTTTCAAAGATGTAATAAAACCATGCCGGCTCACCGAAAGCAACATAAGACTGAAAACGGATATCCAATGTTGCACTCTGAGCAATGAAAAATACACCTCTGTTTCTATGTTTCTATGTTTGAGAGATTCATCTATTATTTTATCATTAATAGTTATTTCTATTTAATATTATGTATTATCTAATATTTGTTGAGAAATGTTTTTAGAGATTATGGATGCAGAAGCTCTTACAAAAAAACAAGAGCACAGTTAATATGCCACGAAGCAAAAAAAAAAAAATAAGTACATCAAGAAGACAAGCTCCAAATTCGAAGCATTCTTTTTTGCTATTTTGTTTTGAGAAAATGTTCTAAAATAATCCAAAAGAAGAAAATAATATAAAAATAGTATTCCACCGAGAGAAAATTATGAAAATAACCTTTATTTTTATGATTTTTATAAATAAACGCGCTTTTACTCAATAAACTGACAAACTAATTGGTCATACAATGGAACGTATATTACTGGTAGACAGTTGGCAAACTAAATGTAAACTACTGGCAAACTAACAGCAGATTAAAAACACAATAGTGGACTCCTTTTATGAATTATTTTAGAATAAAATCATGTTTTGTAATAAAATTACACATGAATAATTTCAAAAATCATCCCTTTATTTCTCTCTCTTTGTTAAATTGTAAAACCTTTTGATGTGATACTCTTAGTCTTATTTATATTCTTTTACAAGTAGCTTAAGTTCCACGAAAGAACGAAAAAGAAAATACAAACACAAATGAAGAAAAAGCTTTCTTTCACCACTTATTTAAAGGATATGCATTAAATATTTTTTTTTTTAGGAAATATTAATGCTAAATGGAAGAAAGTTAAATTTACTATTTATATTAAGAAAATTCATCTAGCTTACTGAAAATATTATCTACAAAATACTCCAACTAGTGGTAGAAACAAAAACAAAAAACAATTTTTTTTTTTATACCGGTGCTAGAAAAGAAAAAACGGTCCACATTTATAAATGTTTACTTTGGCCGGATCTCTAATGCTATAGTGATTTAGATGTGTCCGCGTTTTATAGATCTCACATGGAAATTCAAAGAACGAACCACATTAATGAGTCGCGGTGGGCCGGGGGAGTGTCTTTTTTTTTATATATGGAAATTACTAGCATAATAGATGAAGAGGTCAAGAAAGAGAGATGACAAAGAATTTGGGACTTGTGTTCGTGGTTCTACTGACTCTTTTGGTTTCATACTCCATCACCTCTGCTCTTGCTTCACCACAAGAATTACTCCCATTACCCGGTTAGTGTTCGGCATATATACATATATATCCTACAATTCCGTAAATCGAGTAGTAAAAGTGCTGATAGAATATGTACAAATTTCTTAAGTAGGTAGATAGATTATCTTTCTTTTTTGTTTGGGCAAATTGATTATCTTTCTTAAAATCCAATAAACTTACTGGATATTTGCATATTCTTTTTTCTAATTTTCGTTCAGCTAGTTTTTGCATATTCTCTTTCTGGATTTATTAAATACGAAAATCATAAAGAGACCACATATTATTTGATCTTAATTATCCGTTTGACATGGTTTTATTTTTGGTCCTTTTTAATTGATTTGAACGATTTCTTACTTGAGATTTTTAGTCACTTAAATTTCTTTTCATTTTGATTTGATTTCATTTTGCAATTACCATTTGTTTGTAAATAGAAGAAATAAAACCAAATCTGTTAACTTTCTCTTATGTTTATTTACTTTTTTTGTTATAGTTTCAGACTGATAAAGTTTTACACACTCTTTTGTTTGATACATATGTTAAGATTTTAAGTTTTTATGTTAAATATATATAAATTTTATATATTACTAAAATTACAAACTTTTTTTAATAATAAATCAAATAGGATGGAGGAGAAAGATGTGCAAGTAAGGTCATCAAATAGTGGACATGGGGGAGGATATATTGGAGGGGGAGGACATGGAAGTAGAGGGGGAGGATATGGAAGTAGAGGGGGACGATATGGAGGTGGTGGGGGAGTATATGGAGGTGGTGGGGGTGGATATGGAAGTAGAGGGGGAGGATATGGAGGTGGTGGCAGTCAATTTCCATTGTCGCCACCTCCACCATCGTTATTGTCACCGCGATTACCAGCGCCAAGCGCCATGAATTAAAGAGATACAAGCTTTCTACGAGCAAGAAAAAAAAATTCGTATGCAACTGGATATATATTAAAATACATATTCAATACTTTATGGTTTAAAGGGTTGTATATGATTTATTATAGATAACATGTTCTCGTTTTCCGTTTTCCTCAAAGTTTTGATTTGATAAATAAAACGTGAAAAGAGTTTTCTCATGGAACTCTCGTTTAGAGATAATTCTTTGAGAATTCAACGAATTTAAGAAAGGCTGGTTATCGGGAATTGCATGATTTAACGACTATCTAGTTTCAGCTATGTCACGAAGGTTTCCAAATTTTCTTATAATTGAATAAGGTATTTTTATCCTTTGTGCAAATTTAAAAAAAAAGTCAATAGAGAACAACGGCGTTAAGTATTATTAAATGGCAGATTGCATGGCTTGATTACTGTAAGGTATCTGAACTGGCACTGCTTGTGGGTCTCCTACGTCTGCTTTTGGTCCCATTTTCATCGGACGATCAGTGCGTTACTCCGTGTAACTTCAAACAGTTTTCAATCAATCTTGTAGATGATCACAATATATTTTTCTCTTTTTCTTCCTCACTTAAATAATATTGAAATTTACTTTCTAATGTTCATCTTGTGTGCGACCAAGAGGATGAAAAGTTGGGAAATATATTCTTGTTCCTTGTGGTTCTTTTGGCTTCGTGCTCCATCAACTGTGTTTTTTCTTCTCCACAAGAGTCACTCCCATTAATCGGTAAGTGCTTGTTCTGATAATTGTCTCTAAATTATTTTTTTTTTAAAATCATTAGTTTATATTCCCTCTATTTTAAAATAAGTATCATTTTAAGACTTTTTTTGATACACAAAAAGTGTCATTTGAGAATTTCAACACAATTTTTCACAAAACATTCCTTTTTTAAGCTGTCAAAAAAATTGATCAGATAATAAAAATTAAATGATGAAGAAATGTCAAAAAACACTTTTTTTTACACATAATAATTAAATCTTCAGCGATGGAGTAATTGGAAAGTCTAGATGATCTAATATATAAAATCTCAAATTTTAAAACCTTTGTTTAATTGCATCCATTACAAATTTTGGCTCCAGTTTTTTTTAGTTGATTTAACATTGTTTTAGAATTTTTTAGACAAATAGTTTGCCTCTAAAATTTTAATTCATTGTAAAATTGCTTTGATCTAAGAAAGATATTAATTAACACTTGGCTACATTCTCTAACTGGTAACCATTAAAAGAACAACAAGAATGAAAAGGAAATGAATGAAAAGAATAAAATTATATGAATGAATGGGAATAAAATAAGAAAAAGAAACAGATAAATATTTTTTTGTTTCTCCCCAAATTTGATAAAGAATAGTTTTGTTCTATAACTCCTTTTAGAATTGGGAATGGTAAGGAATGATGTTGTTAGAGATGAGATCCGTGCCGTCTCTAACAAGCCCGATACGAATTTTGGTCGGACCGTCTAACAAGTTTCAGGTCGGCGACATAAAAGGAAATCTTCCATTTATCAAGCGATCCCGGGAAAAAGGAAACTCCTTGCCGACAAGAGTTTCCTATTCCAAGCAGGTTGAAGACCGACCTGATCGGCTATAAATATAAGAAGTCCTCGACTTCTCAATCTATCCAAAAATCATCGATCAAGACCTAGAGCAAACTAAGCGATCAGATTGTTCTAGCCCTTGATTTACTTAAAACAGTTTAGGTCGGCGTTCTTATTCCGACGACCTAAACACCGTTGTATTCAACCAAGTTCCGGCTTCTTCTAATAAAAGATCTTTCTTTAAACCCTCAAACCCTAGTTCTTCAATAAGTTGGACTTGAGTTTTTACAGATGTGGAAACAATATTCCTAGTAAATGGTAAAAAAAATTAAGAAATGGAGAAGAATTCATTATTCTCTATCATTCCTTTAGTCACCAGTTACACCCTAAAGAACAAAAAACGATCGTTTGAGATTTATTTCTCAACTTGTTTGAGAATTATAGAAATAGAAAACTGTAATTATATAAACAGACGAGATTTATTTCTTAACTTGTTTGAGAATTATAGAAATAGAAAACTGTAATTATATAAACAGTTTGAAGGTACAAGAGAATAACTTCTTTTCTTAATTTATATGAAAAGTATCAAAGTGACACTTATTTTGAAACAGAAGAAATATAATTTTACGATTACAAATACTTTTACTTTTAAATATATATATAAAAAGGGTGCTGAATTAATTTTTAGCCCAGTTTAAGTTTGATTTGTTGTTTGGTTGGATGATATAACAAAATAATACCAAACTGACTCTTTTTCAGTCTAGTTTTAAATTATATATGGGTTGCCTAGTAAACCAAAATAGACACCCTTTTATTATTAATGATAGTAAGTTTAGAGGTCTTATGCTAATTTAAAATAAATATTTATAAATTTTGTAATGATTTGATTCTTATCTTATTTTTCATTTGTTGTCTTTGTCATATTTTTTTCCTTAGGATTTAAAACTAGAATTGAGAGGAAAAATGATCATAGTAGGTCCATCAACAAGCCACCTTTGCCACCACCAGTAGATTCGTCGTCTCTTCCAGTGTCACCACCTTTGTCACCACAAGTAGGTTCATTGTCTCCTCCAGTGTTTCCATCTTTGCCACCACCAGTAGGTTCATCATCGCTCCTTCATTGTCACCACCTTTGCTACCACCAGCACGATAAACAACAATTCTTGAAAATAGTATGTTGTGAAATTTACAACCATTTATTTCTGGAAATATTTACATCCATTGATAACTCATACATAACTTTCACTTAAAATACCATAATTGTTTTTATATTAATGGGGAAGTTCTGTTTTAAAATATTTTTTTTCTCAAATTGTAATTAAGCAAAAAAAATCAAAGTAAAGATGTTATGTTCATACAAAAAAGTAGTGATGTCGAACGTTATAGACCGGTCCGAGTCGTAATTATTTTCTCGTGTCCGGCTCGAGAGCTAAATTTGTTTGATATCCGATCCTAACTAGTTTAGGTTAGGTCCAAGCCTAGTTAAAACATAATAAATTTTAAACACAAACAAAAAAGAAATGATAAATTTAAAATAATTGATAAAATAGAGAATACTTCTTCCGTTTTTTTTATAAGATGTTTTAGAGATTTTTTTAATAAATAATTGATGTTTTCAAATTTGTATGTAAACATTAATTATATTTTTGTTGTTTTTGCTGTTTGAATTCTGAATCTAATTTTTTTTATTGGTTGAACTGTTTTGGAATTAATAAAAAGTATGTTTTATTTTTAAAAATAAAGAATTAAATAATTTTTTAATCTGTGTATAAATCTCTAAAATATATCGTAGTTATTTTTTAATTTTAAATATTGTTTCTACAAAATTATAAATGTTATTTTTGTTTTTCCATTGTCTTAAAATATGTAGATTTATTATGTAAGTTATTTTCTAATATAAACTAACATATATGTTAAAAAATTAAAAAAATATATTTAGATTTATACACTACTATAAGTATCCAAGTATTCCAGTTACTTATATTTTTATTTAATTAGTTTCGAACTTTTATATTTTTTATTTTCAACAAGATCAAGAATATAAATTCACCATCTGTTTTATTTACTTTAAATTAATGTTTTAAAATTCGACCTGGAAGCTGGAATGTCTATTGGGTCACTGGATTTTCGGATTTATGTAGGTTGATCCGGATCGACAGTAGGATAACTAATTAATAAAATTTTATATAATATATAATATAGCTTCAAAATAGAAAAATAAATTTCACTAAAATATAATCAATCATTAAGGAACATTATCAAAAGGATACTTAAAATTTAGAAACAAAATCGGGGATCAACGAAAACAAAAAGAAATCTAAAACAAAGAAAAAAGGTTAGAGGAAACGACACATACTGTTTTACTGAGTTGAAAGACACAAAACTTCTTCTCAAGCAGTTGAAGAGGAAGCTGAATGCTCAAACAAACCTTAAAACAATTGACAAAAACCTATATTTTAAATTTTTAGTCAAAGATTACTTGTATTAAAGAAAATTAAAATTTTGAAAATAAAATTGTTGGTTCAACCGGGTGGATGGGTCACTGGATCGCAGTTTGCTTGCAGATTGTTCCAAATTTTGCCAGTTTGGTAATTTTCGGATCTTAAGGTTATCTCCGATCTGGGAAAGTAAATGGGTCCACTTTAACAGGGCGAACCAGCCGGTCTGGGTTGGGTCTCAAAACATTGCTTTAAATCAAATGATTTCTTTTCGTTTTTCATAAATTCTGAAAAATTCTCACTCATTCTGAATCACAAATAGTGATGTGTTTATTATGTTTTCCCATTTATATAGATTAAGTTCAATTCTATGCTATATGATTAATTACTTTAGTTTATTTATTCAAAAAAACCTTCATTCTTTTATATAATTAAGTTGATATTCATAATTTACTTTAGTTTTATGCATAAATCTTTCTTTTTTTAAAAAAAAAGTTAGATAACTATTTTTTTCATGTTGCCGTATTTATTTTTCTTTAAAATATCTTTTCCACATTTCTTTGTTTATATTTGAAATAGCATTTTGAATTTTTTAATTTTATAGAAAATTTGTAGTTTTTATAGTTTGGAAAATATGTATTTGTTTTATACGAATGATTTTACTTTGGTTTTATACATAAATCTTTCCCAATTTTTATATTTTTTATGTTTAATAATTATTATCTGCAAGTTCTTCCATCATGTTGCGTATTTGTTCGCCTTGTAACTATTTTCTACATTCTCTTTGTTTTTATCCGAAATTAGATTTTAAATTTTTTATTTTGTAAAAATTTTGTAGTTGTTATGATTTATAAAATAAGTATATATTTTTTACTTTTAAATTTGTATCATATAAAAGCCTAAAAAAGCATATTCAAAATATGTAAAAACCTATAACAAAGACCAAAATATGTAAAAGACCATAAAAAAACACTTGTTGAGGTGGATAACTTCATTGGAGAGAAGCTTCTCTAATAATATGTATGATTCTGACATCTACAAGAATCCATTGTAGAATAGGTATTCAATTCGACATATGTAGTCTTTAATCTTGATGTCTATGTTGGTCTTGAACATTTTCGTGCAAACCTTCTGCTACTCTTGTAGTCGGATTTGCATTAGACTTGCAAAGTTAAATATTTATTAGCTAAAGCATCATGTATTTGCCAAAGGGAAAACAAAAAGAAAGAGAAAATTACACAAGGCTTCAAAAGTTAGACTGACCACTACCAGTCTAGGTTTTTTTACTAATCTTTTTTTTTAATTAAACTTAGTCTCCTTTTAGATGAATAAGTAAAATGAACAACATGAATATATTGTCAAATTTCAAAGGATTTCGGTCGAAACCATCAATTAGAAAATGTTAGCCTTCGAATCAGGCACGGTTGTATTGTATACATGTGTTAGAAGTGCATTTGCACAGAGCAAATTTAATTTTATGTTTTTTTTGCTTTTAAGTTTGTATAAAGGGTTCAAAATATTGTTTTTTAAAAACATCTTCTTTAACAAAAGGCTCATATTATCAAAATAAACCAAATTTTAGGACCCAGTTTTTTTTAGCCTAGGGTCTTCTTAAACATTGAGTCGGACGTGCTTTAAATATGACTTTGGCAGCCATATATGTTTAATTATTTCTCTTATCAGTTACTAATCTTGGTCTTTGTTGTCATACATGTGGCCGGGATAAAGTCACCGTGTTCGACGCGTCCTTTTTGTTCTTATATGGGATCTCTTTAAACTTTATTTGGTCCTTATACGGGACCTCTTTAAACTATTTGCTTATAAACAATATATAAATAATTAAGACACACAAAAAAGATAATCAAGAGTAAGCTTCATTCATATATCAACCCAGAAAAAAAATACAATACTATAAAGAAGAGTATCGGATCAAGAGGTCTAGCATATTATCAAAGAGAGAAAGAGAAAGAGAGATGGCAAAAGAAATTCCTTCGAAATTGGGACTTGTGTTGTTGCTCCTAGTGATACTTTTGGTCCAATGCTTTAACGAATGTGCTCTTGCGTCTCCACAAAAGTTACGCCCATCATCAGGTTAGTGTTGACACATATATGGTATATATATATCATAATTATTTTCATAAGTATAATGTGCTAACCTTCGTAATGTAGAATAAAGTTCCAGTGCTATTCTTTTAATAAACCAAATAGGATGGAGAAGAAAGATGGCACGAGTAAAATCATCAAAAAGTGATCGAGGTAGTGGAGGTGGACCTGGTGGCGGCTATCATTTGCCATTGCCCCCACCTCCACCACCGCCTTCACCATTTCTGATGTGGCCGCCATCATCAGAGCAACTACCATTGCCGTGATTCGAAGAGATACAAGCTTCTACAGAGCGTCAACCCAAGATACATCTTTCTTGGTCGCTGTGAATGCAACTTAAAATGTTAAGATTATAGTTCATAATCATTATTCTCTGCACTTTTATGGTTTTATTAATAAAGAGTTTACATTTACGGTTTATTCAATGTTTGATCTGATTTGATCTGGTTGATATAATGCGGAAAGAGCTTTCCCCTCCGAAGGGTTATTATATACGAAAGAGAAATGTCCTAGAAGAGAAATTAGTTAGACTGATTATTGAATATTTGTAAGATAGAAGTGTATTTGCTAGTTTGCTGGCTGTGAATTGAACATAAAGGGACAAGACAAGTCATTGTATCGACAAGTAAAAAAAGAAGAGATTTGTTACAAGAAGAAAAAACTATAGTGTGAGTTGGCGAACATGAGGAGTCTGGGAAGGACAATATAGAAACTTTTTTTTTTTTTGGTAGACAAAATAGAAACTTCTTCCAATGAGGGTATCGGAAGAGTGACAATGGAGAACATAGAGATTTCTTACAACAAAAACAAAACACATAGAGAACTTTTTCTCGTGGTGTTCCTCGAAAGCAAAATTCAGAAGAACAGTGAAATTTTCGTTGTGAGGGAGAGGGATTGTGACTTGTGAGTAACTATAGAGAAAGCTCAGTATGAGAGGACTGCCCACCACTTCCCTAGATTCATTCACCTCTTCACAAAAAACAAATAAAGGAATGGGTGTTTATTTGAATTTTTCCTTTTACATGCTTAACTAATAATTGACATGAATAAAAAAAGGCACATGATTTATACAAGTGATTATGGTCAGTGATGCAAATTTTTAAAGGGAGGATTACTGTACTAATTTTGAAAGATAGGTTTATGGCTAGAAAGACCTAAAAATTTTTTTATTGTTGAACTAATTTAGGGTACCTATTTTACCTTTAAAGCCTTTGGTGACAAAAACGGCATTTACGATTGTGTCATTACTTTTCTCTTGCCACGTAAGTGCCTCGTTTGATGATAGACTTATTTTTTTGGTCAACGGATGGTAGATTTATTTTCCGTTAGAAAACTTGGTAGGTTTGTCATTATCGAGAATGCTGATACGACGTGGTAGATATGTTGAGAAATGGTAGATTTGTTTAGAAACTGGTAGACTTATAACTAGTGATGGATGATTTAATTTCGTCGGCCTTTACATGGGGAAAGCCGTGGTGGTTATTTGACTTTTTTGTTCATTTGACTTATAATGACGGTAGATTTATTAGTTGCTCTGGTAGATTTATTGTACACTTGGTAGAGTGGTGGTAGATTTATTTTGAACTTGGTAGAGTTATTTTGCATTGGCGGATGTTTGCTTGGTGGTAGAGTTGTCTTATTGATGGTAGATTTTTATTTCCTACTAGATAACCCTGACGTTGTGGTAGATTAATTTCGACTATGTAATGGTAGACTTATATGTTTCAATAATTACTAGAATAACATTGTAGTAGTTTTATCGTGACTACGTTATGGTAGGCTTTCTATATGATGGAAAACAGTTGACTTTTAAACAGGGAAATATAAATCTATCATGATTGCAAAATTTGTAATACTTAGACAATACCTCATATTGAGTTATGTATGCTGTAATTGTTGAATATAATCACTGAAACATCATATACAAGAGATAAACCTCAAAAAGACAGAAATAGTTTTGAAGACCCTTTCAAATACATCGGAAAATTTGAGGATCTTAATCCGTACAAAGTACATAAAATCATCGAGATACAAGACAGTAGTAAATGGACAACATCAGAACTCAGTTCTTAGCAGTTGGTACTGAACGAAAAGGTAGCAGTCCTCACAGCACATTAATGTGTGTTTGAAGTTGCAGCTAGGAAAATCTTCATAGCTGAAAGCATTTGGCAACAAACCTGCACTATCACTCTGCATTTCCTTCTTGGATCGAGAAATTTCTTCACCAAGTTCGAGCATATACTCCATGCGTGATCTCCAGCCTACAACTCTGTCCAACATCTCAAGTGCAAATGGATAGTGGCCATATGCGATTACTAAAATAGCAACCATCAGTGTTGCTTGGTACATCCCAGCTTTAGAAGCCTTGTTGAAGAAGATGAGTGAATTTTCAAGGTCGTGGGCAATAGCTATTGTCCTCATCCCGTGCAGGTATAAAGCATGAGGATTATCGGATGACACATCTAACTTGAAGAAGCAAGGATATCGCTCGATCAAAGTTGTATCAGCAAGAAAGTCCGATAGGTTTAGTGCTTGCATTACAGATGATTCTTTTAATGCTGCGTTTAGTTGTTTTGACGCACAAGCTGCACGACATGCGTCCTTAGCAGAAAGTCACCCCACTCTCTATAGAATCGAACTGAGTAGGTCTCTTATTTGGTCGAGTCCATCTATTGTTTCCATTTTACGCTGAAACAGAGAGAGGATACACAAGCAGACAAGTCAGAAATACAAAAAATATGAATCTACCATCTTTAAGAGAAGTATATATATATAACAAGTAAATCTACGATAACTTATTTAAGACAAAAATCTACCATCACTGAACCAATTATATCTACCATAACTAATTATTGATATATGTACATGAAAATTAAATCTACCATCAAATACACCAGAAGATGAAACTCGACCACACAACTGACATGTGAAATCCCCATAATCCCCAACTGTAACCTAAAATGGGTCTGAAATCACCGTAAACTGAGAGTTTATTTTGTAAAATTTGGACTTAATTGATGGGAGGCAGTTGATGTGAAATTTGACATGAAAAGGATGGATGGGGAAAACTTACTGAGTTCGTGGACTCGGAATTGGGAGAGAGGGACAACACGCGCCGGCGATAGTGATGATGGTGGTGTCGGAATCTCCGAAAAGGACAACACGGGGGGGGGGGGGGGGGGGGGGGGGGAGAATTCGATGGGAGAAGAGTTTCTTGGGAGTGTGTGAATTTTAAAGTAAAGAAGGGACCATAAAAAAATAGAAACAAAAAAAAAGGAAATAAGGACCAAAATAAAAAAATATATATATAATCCCCCACCTTTACTTTCAACAGTCGTCGACAAGCCCTAGAGTGTGTTCTCAATTTTTGTCATCTCCTTCCTCAATTAGTTCTCAGAAAAGAAAAATTTGCATTATAATCAATCATTTCGTGCTTCATTCTCTTACTTATCAAAGTCTTGATTTCGCTATTTTTTTGTTTCGGTTTGTTAAGATTTCACAGATGGAGCACATAGTTTTGGTTTGTGGTCAATGGAGTTTTCAGAAGTATCGATGGACCTTCAGCATAGACAAGGCAAAGGGATGTAGGATATTACAGGTACATGCAGAAACTTCTTTTCCTGAATTCCTGGGAATGGTGTTTGAAGATTTTGGTTTTAATCCTCGAAATCAAGATGTTCAATTGAGTTATATGTTGTCGAAGAAGATGTTGCAACGACTACCACATTATACACCTCCTGTATTTCTGGGAAACAATAGGCAGTTGAGTGGGTTTTTCGAGCAATTGAAAGAAGATCCCATTCGCATGTGTATTTAGATCAAAACAAAAATTCCCAATGATTGTGGTTCACAAGAAGACGATCTTCGTGGTGTTGGGAACAAATCTTCATTACAATCCGAGGAAGTTGTCGCTGAAGAACAAGAAGGAGACGAAGGAGATGAAGAAGATCACGAAGATGAAGAAGACGAAGATTTGAGTTCCATATATGATGGATGTGAAGATCCGGATGGCGCTAGTTCCGATGACGAAGAATACGGAACTTCTGCAATATCAAAGGATAAAGGAAGTTCTGATGTAGAAGATGATGTTGAAATTCTACCACCAAAGACAATTCCTGCAATAATTCCTGAATATGTTAACATCGAGCTTAGTTCAATGGAGTTAGCGGTTGGCCAAAGTTATCAGACAAAAGATGAATTGATGACGCAGCTGCAAATTCTGAGCGTCATTAAAAAATTCGACTACGATGTGGGATATTCAACGCCAGAATTGTTGACGGTAAAGTGTTGGGTTGCAGGATGTAAATGGCGGGTTTGTGCTTCAACAGTAGGTGATAGTTCTATATTCTACATTAAGATATACCATAGCAAGCACACATGCTCTGTAACGGGTCCGATCACTTCGTACCCGCCATGCAACTTACGAGATTCTAGGGCGTCTTTATAAAGATTTTGTCGGTGGTGTTGAACCCACTATATTGCCAACTCATGTTTCAGATGCTCTGACAAAACGATTTGGACTTAAGGTAAGGGTATGTTCTGGTAGATTTATTTACGTTATGCTGGTATATTTAATTAATGTCGTGCTGGTAGATTTATTTAGGTGGTAGATTAACATCATTCTGGTAGATTTATTTAGGTCGGGCTGGTAGATTTATGTGTTCCAATGGCATTTCATTTCTACAGGTCGTTTACTGGAAGGCACATCGGGCTCTACGATATGCACGAGAGTTAGTTGCCGGAACTTCGGAAAGTGGGTATGAAGAATTGCCGTCTTACTTATACATGATTAGGCGAGCTAATCTGGGGACACTTATAAAGCTTGATGTTGATGACGAAGATCGGTTCAAGTTTATGTTCTGCAAGCATTCACGGGTTCTCATACATGAGGAAAGTTGTTGTGGTAGATGGGACGTTCTTACATGGGAAATACAAAGGTACACTACTAATCGCAACAACCCAAGATGGAAATTTTAATATATTTCTAATAGTGTTTGGTGTTGTAGATACTGAGAATGAAGAGTCTTGGGAATGGTTCTTTATACAACTTCACCGTGTCATTCCAGATGATGAAGGTCTAGCCATTATTTCTGATAGGCATAGAGCAATAGGAAAGGCCATATGGAATGTGTACCCCCTAGCAAACCGTGGTATTTGCACATATCACTTGTATAAGAACATTTTGTTGAAATTCAGAGGTGGAGAAACATTCGGCCTTGTCAAAAAGGCTGCTACAGCATATACGGAAGCAGAGTTCAACGCCTACTATGCGCAGATTCAGGCTTTGAATCTTCAACTTTATAATAATTTGCAAAAGGCTGATGTGTGTAAGTGGAGTCGTGCTCATTTCCTAGGTGATAGATATAACTTCACCACTAGCAACATAGCTGAATCGCTGAATAGAGTGTTGTCTAGTGGTAGAAGTAAGCCTATTGTTCCCCTCCTCAAAGATATTCAGATGCTTCTGACAAGGTGGTTTGCAAAAAGATGCCGAGTTGCTAGTCTAATGCAAACATCTCTCACAACGGGAGTGGAAAACTTGCTTGCGGTATGTCTTCATGGTAGTTTTATTTTGTATGATAAAAGATAGGGATAATTGAGTGTTATAAATCATTGTTTTATGTTTCCATAACAGGTTAGAGTTGAAGATGCAAAGCAGTTTGGAGTCCAA